GGAGGAGAGTGCTAGGAAATAGTCGCAAGGCTTGGAAAGGCTAGCATTTTATCGGAGTGTTTGCATGAAATCTATCGCTATTATGAAATACTCGGTGAAGAACAATATGAATTACACACAAGATGGCTGTAGAAGAGGCTATGGAAGGGCATAATCTCATTATCTAGTAAATCAACTACAATTCTGACAGCAATCATGAGCAATTCTGCTTCGCACTTCGGGGAGGGTCCTGAAGGGGGGGTCCCAATCCCATTTCCCACCTAAAATTTTGGCAAAATCCCAGTCCCAGTTGGATTTTTATTAGAAATCCAAGTCCCAGTTATTGAAATCCCAGTCAATAAAAAACCCTTTATTTATCGGTAGAATAAACAGTTTTAAGGCTTTTTAAGCAAGTGGCGGACACTTTATGAAATATTAGGGAGGAGGGCTCGTGCCGAAGGCACGGAAAATTTTTAAATTTGAATCCCGGAAATGGAATTTCAGCATTCTGAGACACGCATAATCATAAAACCCAGAATTCCGGGCGCCAGAGTATCCCTGTTCGCAGGTAGTGCTGTGAATAATATAGTTAACAACAAAAATCATGACCAAAGACACCAAAAACGGATCAAAACTGTATTTTAAAATACTCAAAACGCAGAAAAATTGGGAATCGACTCGCATTACCTCAATCCCATTCCCATTTTTGAGGACTTCATTTCCCATTCCCAGTGGCCAAATCCCAGTCCCAGCAACCCAAATCCCATTTTCCCAGTCTAAAAATAGATCAATCCCAGTTCCCATTTTACCCCTTCAGGACCCTCTTCGGGGGCAGAAATGGCTTTACTGGGGGGGGGGGGCAAATTCTTTCCCTTGGGGGGGGGGGCAATTGCCTCCCCCCCCAGATATATAGTTAAAAAAGGCACTGCGCTGCGAGTGCATGCATGAGCACTTTCATCCAATCACAATACTAAACAGTTAATTTTAATTAGATGCAAGCACTCGCAGCGAGTTGCGAGGAGCTTCGTGCGAGGACTGGAAATCTGCCTTTAGCCATACAAAATGTCAATATATTGTCTGCGATTTTTAATCCTTTTTTATGAAAACAAGAACCAACTAAGTCCTTCTAAGATAGTCGATAATTGAGGATAATTTTTCCTGGAACGAAATGAATAGATGAGGATAATTTTTCCTGGAACGAGGTATAAGGAAGCCTTGGGACAAGGACATTTATGACAGACGAGAATATTCATGTATAAAGCTTTTTGAACAAATTGAACAAGATCCAAGTCATAAATTAAAGAATCTCTTAATACCTACTTTAAATACGTCTCTTGACAGCCTTCGAACCGTAAGAAAGTATAAACTTCCTTTAACTTAATCAAAACAGACCGTTTTAAAAATTCTTTTATACCTCGTCAAGCAGCGAAAGTGACGTTGTAGTTTTTAGCGTAGTAATAGTTTAAGCAACAACGAATTGTAAATAATTTTATATCAATTGTAAAACATTTGTAATTCAGCCATTTTTTGGCTTCGTGTATTGGAAAGTGACGTTGTAGTTTTTAGCGTAGTAATGTATTAAGCAACAATTATGAACTGTAAATAATGAACTTAGTATTTTATTTCATATCATTTGTTAATCATTTGTAATTCAGCCTTTTTTGGCTGCGATATTTGATTCATTAAACTATCTAACTAACTAAACACAGCTTAATATGTAATATATGAACAACTCGAGCTCGTGTTACACCGGGATATCCAAACTCGAGGAAGCAATGTATGAATCAAATGAATCGAGACGTAACAGAATGTTTTCGTTTGCTAATTTGAATAGAATTCTTATAACCAAGCATAACGTAATTAGGAATTCTATTCCAGTAATTTTGCATGCGTAATTAAGATATTTGATGAAAACACTAGTGACTTTCATCAAGTATCCTGTATCCAAATGGTATCTTGTGATCAAATAGATGATTATCGTTGGCTGAATTGCTCATGAATTATTAATGAATTCGAGAAATGAGGGTCTCCCAGGGGTTTTGGAGGAACAAGGGAACACTGTAAATTTTACAATGGGAACACGGGAACAAAGGAAAACAAAATTAGGAAACACGAAATATATTGGAGAACAGGGGAACAAAGCCCCTTTCCTAGAATATATACAAGTGGTACAATGGCCTCATGTATTGTAGATGAAAAATGGGCATAATATATCGTTTTTTCCAATTTGTAGAACCAACCTTTGTACTTGTGGTAGACTGTTCTACGGGCTGCTTGAGGATAATAAGTGAAGTTTCTCCTCTAGTCAGATTTTTGAGCAGCCATCATGACTTTTCTCGGTCACATTTTGCTTGCACCTGAAAAAGCAGATACCAACGGCAACGCCCTTCACAATCGACGCAGCAATCACCAGAATCGAAGAGGTATATGACTTCGATTGTCAGTGCATACATAGAACAAGTCAAAGCCTTCCTTAGAACAAATGCCCAGAGCCAAGGTCCGCAAGGAAACGTTTCTTCAGTCGTTGTGGAAGACGAAACCAGAATCTTTGGGAGAAATGCGAGGTCTGCTTCAAAAGTATGATCCACAGCTTTTGAAGTTGTTCAAACTTAAAGCCGTTTGACGCTGGTAGTCGAGAATTGTTTCTCCGAGATAAGGGCAGGGCATGTGATATGCCAATGCAGTTGCAGTTCGACTTTCACTTCAGTCGAGCAATGAAGGAACACTTGAATACTTCAAGTCAAATCTGACTTGAAGTATTCAACTCTACCAAAGATGGCACAGTTGACAAAGTCACAATTGCAGCAAATGAGAGACTGGCGCATGAAGTATGGTCAAAGTGTCCCACAGGATACCGTGCGGAACATGAGCACTAAAGACAATCCGGGCACTCTGCCGATAAATCTCTATGCCCTGGCACAGCCAGCTAGCGAGCCTTTGGAATTCTTCAGACACACACCATGCCAACACGCACAACATTCTTCATTCCACTGGGGACGTTGTTTTTCTTGCCTCGTACGCCAATTGTGGGCGGATGATAATCTACCATCTACAAGAAAACGTTAGTGTTTCAACAAAGAAAGCAAGACCACCATTTTTGAAGGTGACCCTTTCAATCCACTTATATTTACAGAAGAAGGAGTTGTCAAGGTCAATGCGAAAGAAATACCTGGTTCTCAAGTGGAAACCGTTTTCAGGAGATAGCAACCTTGAACTGACAGAGAATGAGTTTCTAAGATAGCAGTCGAGAATGATTGAATGTGTTGATGCTGTGACCATTGAAGAGGCGAGAGAAATTAGAGAGCGCCAGGATATCGACCAAGAAAGTGCAACAGATACGAAGCTAAGACGTGCAACAAAGACACCACATAGGCTACTGACGATTTTGTATATTATGATTAGTAAATAAAGGTGATACTTTAGTACTTTAATAGTTGGAACAATTGAAGAAACTATAAATGCAATGCTGTTCATTAGATCTATTTTTTGTTATGTAATAGTAATACTGTCAATACTTCCACAAAGTCAAATAACTATTAAACATTATAGTCTTCTTCAGTATTGTATTTTTCAAATGAGCAACATCTGCAGGCTTGTGATTGTATTTTTCTGTTTAATTTTGTTAAAGTGAATGTATGTATTAATATAATGGATGATAGCGAGGATAAACTGTCAAATTTTCTGAATAACGAAACAAAATTTAATTTATAAAGGGGAACAAGGGAGCATGGTTAAATTTTGGAAGGGAATAAGGGAACAAAGCGAAAATTTTGAAGGGAACACGGGAACAAGTACCCCCCCCCCCCTGGGAGACCCTCAGAACTGTTAATCATGATCTAATTAACTTATTGTACGGTAAGATTTTATACTCAGTATTTCAGTTTGACTTACTTCCACATTGGGAAGTGACATTTCAGCACGTCAGTGCCTTCTCACAAAATTCCCACATTTATTGAAACACATCCGCTTGTTATGAAAAATATTTTGAACATGTCAGCCATAATATATCACGTGAAGAGTCTTTATACCTGATAAAACTCATCTTCATTTTAGTATTCTTTATATAAAAGTACGTTATATAGTCCATCCTAATTAGTATTCTTTATATAAATCGTACTGTTGTAGTCGTGTTTGAAGCTATTCAGAAGTTCTGAATCAGAACACTTGTAGACGTGTTTTATCATATGTAACTCAAATACTCGTGCTACGCACTCGCATTTTAAATATGATAAAACACTCCTACGCGTGTTTTAAATTTTGGTACTTTGTTTGGAATAAATTATTATTATTTTACCCACGTCCACGACATTTTACCTTCACCCTCGACATTTTACCCTCACCCTCATCAATTTACCCTCGAAACTCGACTAATAATAAATTCCATATAGGCCTACTTGTGCAATATTTCGAAAGAAAAACAGTGTGAGGTATTCAATTAAATCGAAAAAAAAGCAGTGTGAGGTATTCACACTTACTAAAATCCTAATCAACATTCACCAGATTAAAATAATCACTCTTAAGGCATCTATTATGGTCTAGTATATATATATGATAAGATATTTTGGAGTCACTATTTCCTTCAGAACCTACTTCCTCATCGGAAGATGTTTCTGCACGTGCCTCTCTCAAATTTCATTGTAAATGCTTTTGTGCTCCCATGCAAGGACATGCATTTAATGAAGGCATCGTGGCCGCTTGTCAATTGACGAGCGGACCGTAACGGTGCAATATCCTCCATGCTCAAAAACTGCGACATAAAACCCCGCATTTAACAGATTGAAAGATTCATCTTCTTGAAAGCAGCAATCGTCTTCTTCATTAAGACAATGCCAGAAGCTTATTTGTTAAAATAAAACGAAAGTACTCACGGCTTCATTTGCACAATTGATTTGCACAACGTCAACAATGTCACAATTGCGTGAACACTTTCTGTACACTGTACACAAAAACTGTACACTGTCTGTATATATATACGCAGGACAAAAACAAAATAAAGTGTTATATGTTCATTGATTAGGATAATGATTCTGGAAGAATTAGTTGGTAGTTTTGTGTCGCTCTTTTCGAGTTTGATTGTTCACACACCGCCAATATCTAGTGAAACTCTACAGAGGGACTATAGTTTGATATTCGAAGCAAATCCTGAAGAAGACGAAGTATACGATGGTTTAATACACCGCGAGTACGAGCAAGAGGCACCGGCGGAGTTGCCTTATTATGAAGAAGATATATCTGTTTTGGTACAGCATGCTGCTGGCCAAACCAAACGAAATTTCTGCGAATCATTTTTCCGAAGTTGTAAGACAAATGTAGGATTATTGATGGCTGCTGTGTTTATGTTGGGCTTACTGACAGTTGGATTGGTCTATATGGATCTGAATACAACTAATGCTTGTAGAGAATGGATGCACAATAATTTCAGTGTTCCATCGAACGTACGGACCGTACGCATTGTGGGAATGTCTGTGACATTACTACCGCTATATGCATGGTTTCCGACCTGCGTTATCATGTTGTGGGGTTTCAGAGAGCTCAAAATAAATCATTTATTGAGTTTATTTCTCTCTCAGTCAGTCATAATATCCATAAATATTGCTTACAAAGTTATGGTATTTGATAAGATAACAACTGCCAATGTTGGATACAGGTTAGTAAGTAGGCCTACTTGTCAGCGAAATGCTTCAGCTGTTTAGCAAGAGGCAACTATTTAATGATAACTATCGGATGAGGCTTTCAGCTGTTCAGCAAGACGCAACTATTTAATGATAACTATATATCGGATGAGGCTCATGAGCGTGATTGATATCGATGCCCGAGTGGTTGTGTTATCTAACGAAGCCCTAGCTATAGGGTGAGGCAGATACCGCAAATTCTCATTGATCATTCTCACGCACTAATATCACGCGGAAGTCGAATAATTTTATTTCGCGTACTGTATATAAGAAAAAACAAAACTGTTAGTTAGTATTAAAAACAGTTTTAAGATTTCGGCAAGGTCTTCTTTCACTTGAGGCGTATTTTGTTATCTTCAGGATAATCAATGAAAACTCTTGTGCTCTCTTTGTAGCTTTTCTCGTCTAATAGTTTTGTAAATTGCTTTCAGTTACTGCGGCAAATCTCGTCATGGCTTTAGTTTTTCTCCGTGTAAATAAAGCTGCCTTTTGTCGATTATTCTCCGCAGAATTGACGTCATATGTATCTATAGCCTTATAGGTGTTGATATTCAATAATTATTCATCGAAGCGAAGTGGAGCCGATATTTCAAAACAACGAAAACATTTTTAAAACAATGCAATTTGTATTTCAGCTCCCGTAATAATTGTAAACAAAAACAGTACTTACACGTTTTTAGCAATGCTAAATATTTCTTTGTGGCTTTCTTTATAGTACACAAATTTGTTCGTCTGTACATCGGAACAAAACGGGAAGCCATTTTGTTTTTTGTCCGGGGGGGGGGGCAACTGCCACCCCCCAGTGAAAACTATATTTACGATTTTTAGAATGACATTATTATTTATACTTTGGGTGTTTGGCATTTTGGCCTTACTGCCCCCTGGTGAAAAAATGCTGCGTACGGCCCTGGTCCGGAGGTGAATAGTGCAAGGATATCAGGAGCTGAACAACCAATCAAATTACGTGAAAAGAACTATCCACCTCCGAGTATGTGATAACAAGAATTATTTATAGGCCAGCAGCCAATCGAAACGGCGATCGGAGTTGTCCCAGTCTTTTCACGCATGCTAAGAGCGCTCACTCAGTCAATCGTAACATAAACACGCATGTCTTGACTCCATGCTTGTCTGGGGGTCAGATTTGGCTTCATGAAAAAATAGGCAGTTTATCTGAAGGTGGCATTTCAGTTATATTCATTTCAGTGGTAATGCATAATATATTATTAACTATATTATTCTACTGTGCTTTGTGACAGATTTTGTTTTCCATGAAATTTAGTCGGAAGTTTAGAATGACTGAATGACTGACTGAGTGTTTTAAGGATCGACCCAAGTTAATTGACTAATGAATCTATATTTTGGTGTTTCTTAATTTAGATTGCCTGGCAACGTCATATATATGTCATCCATTCTTTGTGGCGCTTATATAGTCGCTCGAAAATTCAAGCAAGTTAGTCCGACAGTGTCCTACAGCGTGTTCAGAATTTTTTTCATCCTGTCGTTCGCTTTCCTGGGAACCTGTCTGCTTGCATTTGTTTATGCCTATGTTATCATCAAGTATTTTACAGGAACTGAAGACAGGATCAAGAAAGCCATCATCGCCGCGCTAACGCCAGGAATAGTTATCCCTGTAACTGCAATTGCAAAATATCTTGTTCTCAGAAAATGCTCGGAGATTATTACCCCAGATCGTGCTTTTGCATTGTGTTATTTCCCACGCGGAGGTTCGATTGCACTTTACCGAACGATGCAATCAGGTTTTAAAAATATCTGGCTTTTCATTGGCTTATCACTGTTGCACGGAGTTTCGAACGTTCTGAGCAAGGCAACTCTTAACATTCGCATCAAAATTTGGAAGTTGATTACTAAATGTATCAATAGAACATGCTGTGGGCCAAGATTGGAAGTGCGGCAGTTAAATACGCCTCGTATTCGTCGACTCAACGCAGATGTGGAAATTCAGAATATCTTATTTGAATACACCACGGTTATTTTGAGTCAGGCGTACTTAGCCTGTTATCTTGTACTGAGTTTCGATGTCTCACCCTGGCAAGTTATAGAAGGTTCTTTGATCAGGATCGCCATAAGTTTGGCAATAGATTTTGTATTTAACATAATTTCAGTGTTCATACAAATTCACATTTATGACATTCCCATGCAAAAAGTCTGGTTGAACTATTGGCGACGTCACCTAACTGCAAATGCATTCATAATTATCTGCACGGTGTCTTATTTTGGTGCATCACTGGTCAGTGTTTTCGCAAGCCAGAAATACATATCGCTGTTTAAAGAAAGCAAACTTAGAAATTGTACATCAGTATTTAGTTAGGTCGAAATATAGGATAGACAATGATCACGGGCATGTGTTCAGTGCGATATAGACTCCCGAGAATTAGGGCCACGATCGAGGACCGTAGCTTAGTCAAGTCGAACACGATCACATCCATGAAGAATTGCTTCTTTCTTTACATTTTTGGGAAGTATTTTTTATTATATGTTTTTTTATCGATTAGTACTCGCATTGAGTTTATTGAACTGATTAGTATGCCCTATAATAAATATACAGTATATCTGATTAGTATGCTCTATACACTGTAAATTAAAAAGGGCCAAATCGACCCCAAATTCCGTTTCAGCCCTTTTGGAGCCAAAGCTGTTTTGGCCCTATGTGAAAGCCATTTTGGCATTGGAGAGCTGGATCTGCACCGACGGAGCCATTTTAGGTATGGAGGAAAGCCAAATTGGCCCTACCCTTTGCCGTAAGGGACCCATCATTTTCCAATTTAGCCCCATTAATTGCCAATATGGCCCCACAGGCCAAAACGACTCTCACGTCCGGGTTTGTTTTGGCCCCACATAAAGGGGCCGCTTTTGATCAACACTTTGGCCCCTATGAGCTTCGTTTCGGCTCTCCATCGCGGAACGACTCTCGCATAGGTCAAATCGACCCTGGAATGAAATCGACCCTTTTGTCGAAACGACCCTTCAGTCAAATCGACTCTTAATTGTGTCAAATCGACCTTCTGTCAAATCGACTCTTAAATGTGTCAAATCGACCCTTCTGTCAAATCGACTCTTAATTGTGTCAAATTGACCCTTTTGTCAAATCGACTCTTAAATGTGTCAAATCAACCCTTCTGTCAAATCGACTCGTAAATGTGTCAATTCGACTCTTCTGTCAAATCGACTCTTAATTGTGTCAAATCGACTATTAATATTCTGTCAAATCGACCCTTCCGTCAAATCGACAGTCTTAATTCTGTCAAATCGACCCTTCTGTCAAATCGACTCTTAATTGTGTCGATCGTCCGTCGTATATCGTATCAAATTAACTTCCGCATAAAACTTAAAGAATGCCCATGCTCGCAGTCGCAAAGAAAAAGAAGAGGTTTCATTTTGTAGGGTATTGAAATTTGTTTTCCAGATTTTTAGTAATTTTATCTTAAATATAAATACGGTATTTGTAAAAATTAATCACGAGAATTGAAGGCCTAGGTGTAATATCAGACTAGTCCCAAGTCCTCTGTGCCCGCTTTTGATTTCCGTGACGTCACCGAGCGAAACGCGCGCAAGAGGACTAGCACAAAACGTTTTCTAGCCTGCAAAGCAGGTGCTCGCGGGCTTGGTAAATCCCGTAAATGTTTTCCAATATGGCGGAATTCCAGAATTTATAAAATTGTATAAACATGGAAGAATATGCAGAATATTTACAGGTAAACGTGAGTATTAAAGATATTATGGTTGTACAATGTAAATAATAAGGTATTATAATAACTTCTTTCAGGAATGACGTAAATTTAAAGTAAATTGTAACATTTTTTTGACTATTAGTAGCACCCTGATCATCATCTGTTGACTGAGTTCACTAAGTGCATCTCACTTGATAGAACTAACTGTTGAAAGGTTTTGTAGATAAATATTTTGAGTGTAAAGTTTATACATTTATGAGTCCTGACCAAGGGCAGTTGTGAAAAATGCAACTACAAGCCCTCTGGCAGGAATCCAACCAGCTGCACCCTTACTTTTGTATATATACATGAACGTGTGGTTAGAGCTTGACACCTGGACTTTGTAGCTTAGTTAGTTAGAGCACTGGACCAGAATCGCAGAGACACAGGTTTCATTCCTGCTAGATGGCCTATAGATGCATTTAAATAGAGAGATTTATGCCCGTATTCTAAAAGCTTCACTCACACTCGATAAGTGGAGGTTCAATCTGAGCTTCTCTTGAGTGTCAATGCTGTTTTGGAATAGGGAAGGTAAGTAGTCACTGAGTACGAGGTGACACTAGCCCTCTAGCAGTTCAAAAATAACATTGACACTCAAGGCAAGCTCAGATTGAACCTCCACTACTGAGTGTGAGTGAGCTTTTAGAATACAGGTATTAAATGGTGCACTGCCAGGACAATTTGCCTCTTTTGTTCATAGAGATGTGGATTCATTTGAGCATAAAAGGCAAATATTGCAGTAACAATATCCACAGCAATAAAAAGTACTTGTATTGAGTATTAATATTATTATGATTATATAGTGATTTGATGCAGGTTGATGGTAAAGTGTACAAAGTCATTTTTCTGGAAAAAGCAACCATCACTGAGTACAATATAAAAATTAAGCAATATTCCAGTGACATGTATCACAAGAGATATCTGTTGAAGAGGGCTTGGATTGGTTTATTGCCTTTCTCACCTTCAAGTGATTTGCAACCTGTCATGGAGAAAGTTTTTGGATATTTTACATGTATATAAAAAAAATAATAATTGTAATAGATGCTTTCTCTGCAGAGCAACTAATAAAAGATGATGCTTTGGGGCTTATTTCTGCTTACTGGAGCTGTAATAATATCATATTCAACAATTTAATAAATTAAAAATTCAATAATAATTTTAATAATAATAATAATAAATTTCATCATAATTTTATTACAATAAATACATTTATTATTATGTATTAAATTAACAATATTAACCTCCAAATTTTATTCTATTCCTGTTCACATGTGCCTGCCTGGAGTGTTCGTGTTGAAATTGTTGCTTCAGTTTTCACATACTAATCAGAATTAGATGCTGTACCTTGTGAATGTTCTAACGCAAACTAGTTCGAACAAGTAACATTTGAATATAAACTAGAATATCGGTGTTCCCGGAAGTCCAACAACAAGCCATTGTTGGGTGGTGATCAGGTGAATCTTGTTTGAAAATATTACAAACATGACACTATGCAGACTGCAGTTCGGCCATTTCCTGACTTGACGAAATAAAGGAACAGCAAAATTATGTACATCCATGTTGTCCAATATGTCTTTTGCCTGAACTTTGTCACTCACAAATACCACTTTCACCAAATTCTTCAAATATGACCTTGTTTAATTATATATTTTCTTGACAACTGTCCCTGTATATGCCTGTATGACACCATTTAAATTTTCTGCCACAGGTAAAACATTTCAATTCCTAAACATCAAACAAAAATTTTAAAATCAAAATTGTTGGCAAGTACATAACAGATCTATATTTTGATCTATAAATTCGCAAAGCTCGCAAATATTCAAATGTTCTTGTTAACACAGGTGAATACATGCATTTCAATAGTGCATTGATAAATATCATTACTATATTTACCATGTATTTAGTTAATATTCTACATTTATACAGCAGAGGTATCCCAGGATATCGATAAATAAATTCTCACCTTCTATATTTAAAAATATTTCTCACCGATTTCTTGTTTTTTGTTAGCATCAATTCCGCTTTACTATATTGTCTTTTCAGTATATTAATTTATGTACCACTGCTTCTATTCAATATATATTAAAACCACAAAATTTTAATCCAACTTGTCGCAAATATAAAAGTCAATTTGATACAAATCTATAAACATTTTACTCGCTCATGAGAACGACGCCATTTTCGCAAGCCACTGATCTCAATACAGCAAGTGGGGACACTTTGTCCCCACTTTTGGCTCGGAAA